AGTATTAAAGATTTAAGGGACTAAGATCTAAATAAAAAAACCTTTTTTCTCCGTGTTCTCTCTTCCCAAAACCGCCTCCCTCTTTTCGCATGAAAACGGCGATACTTCGAGAAGAATAAGAAGCTCGATGAGGTAATTTTAGCAAGTATTACTTTTTTATAACTTTTTTAGTATTAAAGATTTAAGGGACTAAGATCTAAATAAAAAAACCTTTTTTCTCCGTGTTCTCTCTTCCCAAAACCGCCTCCCTCTTTTCGCATGAAAACGGCGATACTTCGAGAAGAATAAGAAGCTCGATGAGGTAATTTTAGCAAGTATTACTTTTTTATAAATTTTTTTTCCAGCAACAAATTTCATTCTTTAAGTTGGGGTAGATACTGATTCGAGAATTAAAGGTTATCTTTTGCTACTTAATACCCAAACTGCCATTTTGTTGATTTGGTATGATTCAGACCTCGAATTAATAATAAATATGATATTATATTTGTATGTAGGTTTTTATTTAATAAATTTTGTTTAGGGATAAATATTGTACTTCACGCAATTTTCTGGATATATTTGAATAAAAAATTGGTTAAAAGATTAATTTATTCTCATTTTAGGAAATTCTGTAAGATAGTCTGAGTCCTAATTGACGTCCATAATTGGGATACAATGATATTATTTTGAAGTGGTATAAAGTTTATAATTCATATGCTTGTTATCTGGTTTTGTACCTTAAAACGAAAAGTGATATACAATGCAAATCTCCTTTTGAAGGTTTTCAGATTGTTAGTTTCACAAAGTCTGGCAGCATGATTCATCTTAGTTTGACCGATGACATGAAATATATCACTATATTTGAGACTAGTAACCTGTTGAATTGTGGGGTCTTTTAACTAGAAAACATGCTTCTCTTCATGATTATTTGAATTTATTCAGCATAATAATTAGTTATGGCTTGAAACATTATGAGTAGAGATGGTGATTGATGAAAAAGATTAAATTTTTACTCTGCGGTCGTCTCTGCCTTCTTTATATGCGCATCAGCTTAATTTGATGCGTGAGAAAGATTCGATTAACATGGATCGGGTTACTATGGCTTTATATGAAATGAACTTTGAAAGAAGCCAATGTATACCGATTGTCTAATTGGAGTTTTGCTGTAAAATATAAGAATAGAAAGAAGGCTTTTAGCAATACTAATAAAGGTAGGGCGTCCTATTGTTACTGTAAAAGTAAGTCATGAAGTTGGACATTTGGGTTCTTCAGAAACAGAACGTAGAGGAAGCGAAGCTGGTTGCTCAAGCATGTCTCGAGACTCAATTGGATTCTAGGAGCTCTTGTCACATTTACCCCTTGTTAGCTACCTAAAGTTTATTGAAAATCAAATGTATACTATCACTGGCGTTGAGTGCACATTATAGTGAAAGTATAGTCAGCTCAATTTTTTTCGAGCAATGCGCATATTATCAAATGATTGGCATGATCCTGACCTGAAGAAAAATCTCATCTTCTTGGATATTTGACACTAACGCTACGAAGACTCACCTTAAGATGAAACAGTAAAGGTTTGGTAAGAGCCAGTTTCTGTCATCAAGAAAATAGGTCCAATCCTGAGCTATGTTCTTAAGGCTAATAATGACTTGCTCCTTGATATTATAATATACAGCGAACATGATCAACTCTTGTTAGTATTGTGTAAGCTCTAAGTTTGGGTGGAGGTCAGATAAGTGATGATATTGTAGTGAAGAACCTAGTTGATATAATTTATAGTGGCTTGCCCAGAAGGGACTTGGACTCCATCAACCTTGACGATCGATGAATATGCCCTTACGAGCTGGCAAAGGGACTGAAGGAGAGATGAGAAGGGACTTGTGGAGACTTGATAATTTGAAGCTTCATCCATGTGACCAGAATACACGAATATACAAATTACAGCACCATGTTCTTCCCTTTTGGTATCAAACATTGTATACAAGGATAGATGAAGTTTGTTGAAAGTAGTCTTGCATCTGTTCCAAATTATGTATTAGGAATAAGCAATATGTGTTTTCTAATTCTTCAGATATTATGGTTATTGTGCGTGTGGTATTCTAACCAAACTGGTGACTAGTTATATTTCCTGATTAAGTTAGGAGTAATATTCTTTATTAAACTAGGATATGTTTTGGTACCTAAAAAATGTAGGCTGTTGTAGTGCCTTTCTACCAATCATTCTTTTACCAAACAGATTTCTTAATTTTTTTTCAGTGACACCATGGGAGCTTATTGTAGAAAGTATCTTGGGAATAGCCAATCATGAATCAGTACTGCATATGCATCTTGGAAAGTGTTTATTCCATTCTTAACTGTGCACCAATTAGTTTTATTCACAACTGTAGAATATATTTTTGTTAGCGGGAATTAATGTGAATATGTGGAAAAAATTCTTACCAAAGAGATCCCTTACAAAAGTTGGGATGGTCGGTTTTGCCAGTGTGTTCAGACAACCCATTACTGTCAAATTGTAACCTATGATAGTTACCTTGTTTGTTTTCTATATCAATATTCTAACTTGTGAATGAAACCTTGTTTTTTTTTCTAATAACACTCAATACGTTAACGAGAGAAGTCCTAGGTGGTTACTAGTCGTATGAGTTAGTTTATGTCATTGATTGATCCCGTGATCCAATTTCTAAACTTGATAATTATGAGGGGATCTAGTTGATAGCTCTGATGCAAATCTCTACACTGTTGGAGGAAGATATTTTAGGTAAATACAGACCTGATGATCTGAACCTGAGCTCTTGGTCCAACCCACAAGCATGGTTTAGACAGTTAAGATGGCATCAATCTATGATTTCTTGTAAATGCTTATGATTAGAAGCCGTGACATGGAGATTAAATTAACTTTTGCATCTGAACTCTCTTACCCTTAGGAGTCATCAATCAGCAGTAGATCCCTCCTAATAAAATATCTCCCTTCCCTGATCACCTCAATCATTGACTTAGTTTTAACTAGTGCCCATAGTCCGACTTTTCCTTCATCCTATATCTGTAATTCATTAAAATAAATCAATCACCAGACTGTAGATTGAATGTAAATCTAAATTATATGTCTTGTTTTTTGTTATTTGGCTGGATTGATGCATCTTGAGCAAGAAGCAGATGCTGGGCTGAGGCTCAGGCAGAGAAATAACCCACATCTTCAGCGTTTGTTCTAGCTGCAGGGACTAAAAAGGCTAAATCAATTTTCCAGAATGTATGTATAGTAATGGTCATCTGTTTGAAAATTGATTCGCTGAATTTGTGAATGCACCCTGGTTCAAGTTTGTAGCCAACATGGGCTAACTTCTGCTGTGTCAAATATAGCCAAGAAATTGATTCTATTCTATGTGTACAGGAAAGCACGGTTTCATGACATACGATGTTAAAATGTACAAATGCTAATGAAGTGCATTTTCGTTGGTATAGCTAAGTTCTTGGAGTTTAAGTTTATTAGATTATTTTCGCAAGTACTGTACTCTCGTTTGATTCAATCTATTGTTCTTTTACAAATTAAGCATCAATAGCATCGTTTATATCCTCTTTAGAACTTATAGGTATTGTTTTAAATCCATTTACCTAACTTGTTCTCTTTATTGTTGATTTATACGGATCTTATAACTTCATTTTTTATCAGTACATGTCAATCAAATAACATGATTGATGATAAGGACATGCAAAACGCTAATATATCACGCAAATTTATTTTTGTGTGAGATTATTCCTCTTTCTCATTAACTTGATCAGAATGTGGATAACCTGCATCTTTTTTTCTAATAGAATTCTTTTTGGGTTCAAACATCTCCCCACTTTTCAGTAAACCGTCCTGTGATATGTTGTGCCCATTGTTTTCCTCTCGTACAGCTCCTCTATCATCTTTACTAAAGCAGATCCTCAAACAGAATTCTCAATTAATAATATATTTTCACAGCACACCACCAATACCTGAAACTCTGACGTGCTGCTTCTTGTTATGTTATCTGCTCTACTGCTGCCATTTATTAATGTAGTTACTGCTACTGGGTATTGCTTGTGCTTATTGCTCTCCATTTCTTGATATTTTCCAATCACTACTTTCTATATCTTGGTTCATATGTCACGTTATTTTGAGAACAAATATCACAAAACTGCCGTGAACTAGAGTGACACAAAAATACCCATAACTACTTTAATTAAGAAAATAATAGACAGAAAAGTACCAAACTTTCATAAAACTACCAAACTACCATAAATGTTCAGATAAAGATACTAAATTATCATGAAATTTATGTTAGTTTTCAAGTATTATGACCGAACTAACATATAATTTTCTGATAGTACGTGGTATCTTTCTGCATTTGAAAGTTCGTAGTAGTTTTGTCTAATAAAAATAGTTTTAAGGAAGTTTTACGTAAAAGACCTTATACCTCTTCAGTGTTGTGAAATTTATCCTTATTTTCTTTCGAACTATAAGGTGGGATATCCTTATCGACTGAACTCTATCTGTCCTCTGACTTTATGCATGATAATAATTGCCAGGAGCTTTTAAACACCAACTTTTCAAGAGTTGTATCATTTTGTTCCTAGAGTGTCAGCATTGAAGGATCAGTTGGTAATATCAGTGTGAGGTTTCAAAACATTAACTTGTCAGAATGATATGTGCATCTCATTTTCTGTTTCCTTTATACTTGTCAAACAATTAGGGTTCTTAAAAATAAATAAGATAATTATATATAATTAATTAATAGGTAAAATAATATTTCCACACCAGCTTCAAATAAGTAGATTGCAAGCATACACTATTTAACTTGTCTGCCGATGTGGATGCACTTTCACATTTGTAACAGGAGTAACATTCACACAGCGCTAGTTTGAGTTTGCTAAACACCCCATAAATTGATCTATCCTCTGACTTTATGCAAAATACCAAGCGATATCCTTTTTTTCCTAGAGTGCCCACCTGGAAGTATCACCGCTTCTGATGTCAATAACACCATTTCTTCCTAGACTATTAGCATGGAAGGGGAAAATTGTCCAAAAACACACGTAATAAACTTATCTGCTAGTACTGTCATTTTAATTTCTTCCCTATAATGTCAGCATGCAAGCAAAACTGTCAAAAAACACACATGACTACCCTAATGGTCTTCCCACATAATTGTTTACTGAAAAAAGTGATGTTAAGTTTCTCGAATAACTTTTTTATCGTAGTTTTGCGCAAGACATCCAAAACTTAATGGGAGTTATGTCAATTTACCCAAAGTTCTGGCTATAACTTGACAAAATAATATCATTTTCATCCTAGAGTGGCAGCATCGGAGGATCCCCCTAACAAACATTGCGTCATGCACTTTCAAGCTTGTTAGAGAAGAAAAGTAACTTTCACACTTCCGTTTATCAAACACTCCCTAAATTGATGCCTTCAACTTTATGCAAAACACTAACTTGTTAGAACAATATCATTTTCTTCCAGCAGTATCAGCATGGTAGTACCATCCACCTCCGGTGATAGCAACAACACCACCAACACATCTCCTCTCGTTGCTCACCTGAGGAAGCTTCTAATGCGCCGGATGCTCATCGGAGTGAGCGACGGGAGATTTTTTCTTGGGGTCCTGCACTGCATCGACAAGCAAGGCAATATCATCCTACAAGATGCAGTAGAATACTGCAGATCCATGGAGCAGCAGCGGTGCCTCGGCCTCATTCTAATTCCGGCTTCCTGCCGCTCCACCTGTCATGTTGAATGTTCTATAGATGAGCAGATATCTCTCCTATCACTTCAGGATTGAGCTCAGGGATTGAGTTGTGTTATGTTTATTTGTGATATTTTGATGAAAAACATCAGGAATATGTTAGTAGAAAGGTTTTGATGTTTTCTGTAGCTCGTTGCGGTTTTTGATTTTGTTCATTCAGGCGGAGACTCTGTGACATTTTCTTTCTTATGGATATTGATATTTATCTTTTCTGTGGTCTCATGCAAGCGCAGTTGTTTTTCATTTATGTCAATTGTAAGACTTGGAAGACATGGCTATATGTAATTTCTGAGAATTAAAAAAAAGAAAGAAAGAAGAGAGTGGACTTTACACTTTTCTCTCTTGTAGTATAGACGTAGTCTAGTTGTAGTAACGTAATGTAGGTGTGGGTCCATTATTTCTCTTACCCCACCCCAAAAAATATATATATATATATATATTTGATGACTCCTCAAGGGAGATAACTCTTCTCTTTCTTGTAGTGTAGAAGAAGTGTAAGACACTTATCATCGTTATTCTTTAGGTATGCGTGAAGGTCAAAACTTTCCTTTCATTTGTTATATTTACTTATTAAAGATAGCTTGTCATTTTCTTTTTTTCAAAAAAATCCAACTGTTACACCCTTCTTAATTCTATTTCTTATATTATTAGACGTTACGCCCGTGCGATGCACGAATTTGTTTAATATACAAAAATTGATATAGCAAAAGAATGCAAAATAAAACAGTAATAATGAAGAATTGGCAAACAGCTGAAGAAAACAACCCAGTAATTTAGCCAGGCAACTGGCGGTCGATCGCGAGTCAGCGGCGGTCGACCGTGAACGTGCACAAGGGTCAGGAAGAGCTGGGAGCTGAAGGCGGTCGACTGCCACAGTCGACTGCGTGGACCCTATAGGATTTTTGGGCTCTGTCGTTTGGTTCGGTCGACCGTCGCGGTCGAACATGAGTTTCCTGTAGCTGATTTGTTCTCTGTCGGGAGTGTTCGGTCGATCGCCGCGGTCGACCGCGATACCTGTGCGGTCGACCGCAGGCTGTTTAGGCTGGGCTTCGGGTTTTTAACCTGGTTCGTTTTGGAGCTGATATATAACTCTAATCCTGATTAGTTAGGCTTAAGCAATGACGATTTTGAGCTGTCTTTTGGAAAGAATTGCTGTATCCAATTGTGGGAGATTTGTGAGAGATCTAGAGCTTTATTTTAGGGTTTGATCGGTGAGATTTGTAACTCTATTTGTTTTCTTTTGATTTCTAATAGTAAGAACTCTTCCCTCCTTGGCCCGTGAACGTAGGCAACTTGCCGAACCACGTAAACACTTTGTTCTTACTTTGTTCTTGCTGTGATTGTGATTTGCTTAGTGGTTGTGATTTATCTCGAGTTACTGTTCGTGTCGCTTCGAGAACTTCCGCCGCGCACAACAAATAATATATAAGTAGTCAGAAATGATACAACCTAAGTTGCATATATAGTTTGGAAAATTAGAAAGTTTGAAAAACTTGAATCAGTTTAAGATCATATATAGTTTGAAAAACGTAAATGTGTAAAAACGGTATGAGAAATATGGTGTGAGTTATTTTATTATTTATAAGGTAGAAAAAATTCAAAATTAAAGTGAAATGTCAAAAAAGTACAAAATATGGGTAATCTTAAAAAATTGAAAAAATGAAAGGTTTGGAAAAATGTAAACATGGGAAAATAATATTTGAACATTTTATGCGAGTCATATCAATATTTAAATCGTTGATAACTTTCCAAAGAAATTGGTAAAACAAAAGTGAAATGTCAAAAAACAAAGAAAATATAATACCTATCATATAAAGGGTGTATGACATCCACCTGACGAAAATAAGAGACAATGTAATACCTAAATCAAATAAAGTTAGTGTAAGAAAATTGTATATGATTGCAATTTAAGAACATCACCAAACTATAAGAATACGGCATAAGAAATACTCAATTAGTTAATGCAACTTTCACATACTCTATATAAACATAAGAAAGAACAAAAATATTAAAGTGAAATGCATTGCCATATATAAACATAAGAAAGAACAAAAATATTAAAGTGAAATGCATTGCCATTGGAGAAAAATAACAAAACATAATATAAGAGAAATACATTCTAGTAAGATAAAATAACAAAACATAATATAAGAGAAATACATTCTAGTAAGATTATATTGAGTTTATCACTTACCAATATAATTATATAGAAAGAAAAGAAAAATACACTTGTATAGGCAGAAAAATCTTTAATTCTATCTTTGCCTTTTGTATTCATTGTTTTCCTTTTGTTAATGAAAGAGTGAGCAATCTACCAAACTGTAGAAAAAAACCATAACAGTCCAAAACAACAGTAGAAAAAAATGATAACCTAAGATAGGATGAGCTATTTTCATGGAAGAATTTAAATCTGTCAAATTAGCATCAACAATGTCAAATTATGCATCAACTATGTCAAATTTCAGCCAAAAGCAACATGTTAGCTTGCATTTACTGTCATATTTCAGCCATTTAATTTTACAAACATTTATTATACAACCTTGCATTTTTTCACCCAGCAGATTTAAGTCTTGTGCATCAAAGCGTTCAAGCCAACAACAACATTCAAAACTCCGAATCTTTATCTTGCAAACAATAATAAAAACACAAACTCAAATCATCATTTATTGATATTCATAATTACCGAATCTTTATCTTGCAAACAATAATAAAAACACAAACTCAAATCATCATTTATTGATATTCATAATTAAATAAACAAATAACTAAAAACTCAAATCATCATTTATTGATATTCATAATTAAATAAACAAATAACTAAAAAAAGTACCTCATAAAATGACAAAGAAAGAAAATACAAAAGCACCCAATAACTTATCAGCCCATTACAATCAATTGCTCTCTCAATTTTTACACCTTCATTCGTTTGACTTCAAGTGAATAAGCTAAAATATGCTTTTATATGTGAGCAAAATAAGGAATATAAGATCTCTAGTGCAAATATGAAAGATGAAACAGACTTTGAATGTCTACCTACACTAATGGAAGTATCAGTTCTTGCTAGTATAAATTACAGGAAAACTTCTTAGGGATCCAGTGGTGTCGTGACCAAGCTTTATTAGATGCACAAATTTTTTTCAATGAAGCAATATTTATACTATTTCTGACAACACCATTAAAATAAGAAAACTAAAAGCCTTTTTTTAACAGCAACTGAACAATATTATAGCTGAAACAAAATTAAATAGGTATCTTTCAGTTAGACTGATACGTCAAGCCATACTCAGAATCAAGTCCAATAATCCACCTCCTTTCCCAACTCCAGTACCTGATACTTCTCAAGGAGCTGTCACTGAATATTACATAATCATCACCGTGTTCCTACGAAGTAGTTATAAATTTCATCAAATCTATACTTTGAAACATCCCCATACGACAGAGAACTTTCAATAAGATACATGAAATGAAAAATAAAATTTGAGTTTGTCAAACATGCACACAAAGCTTGCACTACATACACATATATTACAGGACATGCTCAGATAGAGCTAACATATTTATCCAAAACTTAAAATCACATTAGAATAATTTCATGCTATGAATTAGCCAAATAATAACTACTAAATTTTATGTTCTCAAGAATATAGTGTCTTATAACCTTACAATTCGAAACATTGGTTTAAAAATTCGAGGAAGATTCTTAATATTACTAATTTCATAATACTTGATATAATGTTACAATCAAAATCCGGACAACCTTAAAAAAAGTGTATGTAAATGTAGTGATATTTCATTCAGAAACCAAGAAATTATATTATTTTAAATATAATTTTATATTTAATGATATATTATCCGTCATTGAAAAATTCCCAAATGTTTACTACAATTAAATGTCTAGGAAAAATCTCTTAAAACTCAAATAATCTGCAAAACATATGTCTTGAAGAAGTCGGAATGAAAAGAAAGGGATGACAGAAATGATAGGAAAAACCAAACCATAAACTAAAATTTATTAAATAATCATGGTCATATGCTTCAATCCAGAGTGTATACGTATGACTAATTCTGAAAACACATCACCATGAAAATAAGCATGAATCAGCAATGTATATATGCCTAAATCGAGCAATGGAAGAGTTCACATTGTGCAACAATATTGTCACATACTCTGCTTTTTATTCCCACTCATCCCAACATTTCATAAATTTATTACAAACTACAAGTATTATGAAACTAGTATACAAACAGTGTAACAAAGAAACTCACACTCACAGTAAGGTAGAATTTCACATCAAATGTAACTACACTTTTTTCCTATCAACACATTTAAACTTGTCAATAGATAAGCAAAAAATTTATTGATAAATATAATTAGAAAAGCTTAATGTCCACATTTAAGGAATTCATACATTTTTGGATTTTGTTAATGTCCAAAGGTTTTTTTTGGAAAATAACCTTAAATTCAAATGTCCAAGAAAATCTAAATCACAAAAGTGAGAACTTCAAAACTGCTAAAATAAGTAAATACATCTAGGAAATTATATGCTTACATACACTGACTGCATCCTCACTGGTTGCATCATATATTGTGACATCTCTCAATCCTACATAAATCTAAATCACAAACCGTAAGCTCAAATCCTAGAAATTCCCACAAAATGTTAAGAATTTCATGAAGAATAATGCAACAAATTCCTAGTCATACATAATTACTAAGCAAGTACCCAATGTTGAAAATCTAATATTTAAATCCACAGTGGAAAAAAACAGTCCAAATTAGCAAAAATTAAAATAATAAATTGAACCTTTAAACTTCTGCCATTACCCTGAGTTAGGTCACTTACCTAAAACCAAACTTTAAGATAAAAAAATAGAGCAAGATTGGTCGGTGATATAGAGAAGTCGGAGGGTGCCACTGCTGTTGATGCTCCTACCTACACTGCCACTGAGGACCGTGAATCAGGTTCTCTCTAGCCTCCAGGTTTCGAGCACTTGAGGTAGGGCTGTAGGTTGAGAGAATTTGGGGAGGTCGAAGGGATCGATCAAAGTAAAATTAGGCTAATTTATAAGAAGTTAATAACTTCAAGTAGAGAAATTAAGAGTAACAACATCATATGGTGAGACTGTCACTCATTACAACGTTATCACAATGAACAACAGCTCAATGAATAACTCAATCCAAAAAAAGGAAAAAAAATTGATTCGAAGAATCTGACACGTAATATCAAAATTAACAAAACAAAATCTTACATCGAATTAATAAAAATAGATTGTAGTCTAGAAACCCCAACTCTTCCTAAAATACATAATGAATTACGTAAGATTATTAGAAATAAAACGCCTAGAATGGTCTTAATTGAACAATAATGTAGAGAAGATTAAAAGAGATTACCTCGGCTTGATGAGGCACGGCCGCACGGGGCACCCCTCCTCCCGTCTAGAGCGGCGGGTGATGGAAGGAGAATTGTGCCAGTTATGAAGAGGATAGAGATAGAGTTTTTAGAGAGTGAGGAGGAGAAATCAGGATTTTAGAGGGGAGGGTGAGAAATGAAAAGAATGTTGTTTCCCAAGAGAAGATGAATTGTCGCTTTGAAAAAGAAAGAAGAGTGCTACTACAGGACCCAAAATATGATGTTTCCCAAGAGAAGATGAACTGTCACTTTGAAGATTCTCAAGAACAATAAAGAAGGAACGGTTGCATGTACAGCTGCATTAGTCTATATTCTGAACACAATCACAATTCGACGGATGTGGTGGTCGACGGAGATGAAGAGACGATTTGGGGAGTTGTAGATGATTTCTGAGATCGAAGGACACGCATACTGGTCTTGGGAATTGGGAATTGAAGAAATGGGGGGAAATACCAGCGTGAGGTGGGTGAAATAATTAGAGCTGAAGAAATAAAAAGGGGGGGGTGAGGAGGTGGGTGAATGGCTATGTTAGGAATTGAAGAAAGGGGGAACAACGATGTGGGTGAAATAATTAGAGTGAGGGGTGATTCTAAGTTAATTAGAACAAATAATCGGTTAACATAAAACTTCAAAAAAGAGGCGTTGCCATGTGGCGTTTTCAAAAAAGAGGCTTGCCATGTGTCATTTTTGCCAAGTGACGTTTTTAAGGGTAAGAGTTTTTAGTAATAGATATAGATTTTGATGCTTTTGACGCACTTGTATCTCTTATTTAAGGCCTGCGCTAATTCTTAGAGACAGAGAGAGAGTCCCAGATCAATTTTTAACCAAACATTCAAATTACAGTTTTATACATTGCAATTATAAATGAATAACTTTCAATTGTGAATATAAATAATAATTAAAAATCAAATTCTTTAACAAAATAAAAGTCTTTGTTAAACCAAAGATTCACTATTACATAAAAACGAATCAAGTTGAGTCAAACACTATGCCATATTTGTATGTACCTGCAATATTTGGATTCAAAATCGAATTCAAATATTGTTTTTTTGATTTTCTTCAAACTTAAATATAAGCACAAATATTTTTCAAATATTCATGAATATTTGTCCATATAAAGTATACTTATCAAATTAATAATTTATAGTTTTTGAGTGTTACACTATTTAATAAAAGACAATACTTTTTATCAAGTTATAGAAATATTTTTTTATTTTTCAAAAGAATTTGATTTTTGAAATATCATTTATATTCACATTTGAATATTGTTCATTTATATAATTATAATATATTTTTAAAATCGAACAGTTGGTTAACTATTGATTTGCAGCTCTTTATGTCCCTTTAACTTGAAATAAAAAATATATATATAGGTCAAAAAAACATATAAATCATGTATTATAATGCAAGAAATGGAAATTAAGGTGGTTTTAATAATGAATTTAACAAACATTAAGAGCTACAAAATTTATAAGATTAACCTATGAGCGTCACGTTGGAAAATTCAAGAGAAAATGCCTACACTTGCGTAACATAAGGTATTAAAGTGTAAAATTTCTAAACTTCAAGGTATACAAATGCTACCGATAACGTATAAATGCGAAGTAGGAGAAAATATAAGGTATTTAGGTGCGAATTAGCCCTGCATCGATTATCAAGTTGTTCACATTTGAATATGAGTACATAAAAGCTGCTAATTTATGGTTAGCCTAACACTTGCACGGGTGTGATGAGTTACACAGAACAACAAAAAAAGCGTCGGCCCATAACACACATGACACAACTACATTTATGATGAGCCGGTTCTTATCTTTGTCCCACATCGGTTACTTTACATTATTAGAATAGCGTTAAAATTGTTTAATCCAACGCTTCAGTTCGCCGACCTCAGTAACGTGAGCTTGTAATTTGTGAAAGGGCAACAAGGATTTGTCAGATTGTGCAGCAAAGATCCAAAGTTAAATTGTGTTGTCATTTCACAACTATCCTTTACGCAACAGTAGGAAAGCTTTAGCAGACCAGAGCTAATCACAAACAAAACAATGAAAATGTAACCACGAATCGTGGCTCAATGAATTAAGCACAACCCCGGTATCCATTCTCATCGGTTTCATTTAAGATGCAATAGCACATGGCCAAGTCGATGGTCAGCAAAAAATCGCTGCAGAAAGCACGAGAACAAACAGCCATTTTGATCGATCAAATTGATTAAAAAAAATTCAATTGCCACACCAAATGTCTACTGCCAATCTTAACAAAGCACATCCAAATCCCTATTAGGACTTTACCAAGACTTCAAATTTAAAAGCAAAGGGGAGCGCAGAAACACAAAATCCATCATGACAACATCACCATCAAAAGGCTGATGATGGTGCTTCTCCTTGGTCATCAGTGGCCATTTCCTGATTCACGCTTTGGGGCGGCTTCTCTAATCTCATCCTCCTGTTGATCAAACAAACACAAAAAGATCATTATTATGAATATTACAATAATTTTCATACAGAAACTGACTAAACACAAGTGTTATTGCACTAAAGCCCCATGAAGTCTGGACAAACACTATTTTTTTCCAAATTAGTCTGAGATGATTCTTGCATGAACCATGTGCTGATAAATTATCTCTTGCCCTAAATACAGGTGGGAAGATTCTAAACTGCCCTTTATAGAAAAAGTAACCAGTTAACATAATCATTGCTTCAGGTAGTGCAAGTGCTAATTAAAGTTTAAGAGATATGTAGAGTAGCTAGACCATAGTACAAGAAGCATATTTCCAATTAACTCTAGAGAACATATAGCCGTTAATGAAAATTCGAAGAATGTAAACATACATTCATGTCTGAGGTCCATAGGGTCAAGTTGTCACGGAGAAGCTGCATGATCAATGTGCTGTCCTTGTAGGAATCCTCACCCAGTGAGTCTAGCTCTGAAATAGCCTCATCGAAAGCCTGAAAAATAAGAAGATATTTAGTTCTCATGCCAGAGACACAAGAAGCTGAAACAATCACTCAAACAAAGTAGTACAGTCTGTAGTGGCATAACACACAATTCAGTAGATACTTGCACAAATTTACTAGTAGGAAATCAAAGCATTCATAAATCGCCACAAGATACATTAGGTGAGAGTTTTTGAGTGTTAAATGGTAAACTATACATTATTTTCAAAAGAAAATCACTCAGAGTGAATGCTTAAATAAGAAGCAAAGAACACATGGAAATTGCTTGGACACATGCAAAATCTACATCCCAATAAATAAATATCTTTCTAGTATTCAAATTACAGTCCCAAATTAAACTGCTCACAGATCAGTGATTTCCCAGCTCAGAACCTGAAAGCATTTCTCGAACAAATATAATGTTATGCAAGTCCACTCAATACTTACCAATGTGCAATAACAATTTCATCTACATGAATAGAGAGAGATTGTCCAATCCATGTGCATTAGCAATCACCAACCAGATATTATAATACTAATGAAAATACTACTACTTGTATTAGAAAGATGAGACATACTCATAAAAAATGTAGTCATAAAAAGAACCTAACACCAATAAGTTTGAGAGACGAGCCTGTTTCGCAAGATTGCATGCACGGTCTGGTGAGTTGAGGATCTCATAATAGAAAACTGAGAAGTTAAGCGCCAAGCCAAGCCTTATGGGATGGGTCGGAGCCAATTCAGCAAGAGCAATATCCTACAAATGATGACAATTCAATATAATGTGCTTAGCTAATGGTCAATAACTCTTAATTCTACAATAATAAACCCATTTAATGGGAAAAGTAATACATGAATTTGATTAACACAAACATACAACGAAGGTAAGCTGCAGTAAATATCATGGCAAAACGATGAGGTTTCTTGACAAATAAAAATCTCTATCAAACCAAATAAGCCATAAAAAAGGTATTAGAGTATATAAACTGCAACCTGCAGGTATAAACGGATGAAACCCAGTCAAAGAACTCACCCACCTGTGCGGATTTGTATGCTGTCAGCGTATGTTCAGCAGCCTCTTTCTTGTCAGCCCCAGTCTTAAACTCTGCAAGGTACCTGTTCAGAATTATTCATCAGTAAAAAACAATGTCCTTCTACTTCCAAACCCAGAACCATTACTTATAATCTAGAAAGCACAAACCTGTGGTAATCTCCCTTCATCTTGAGATAGAACACCTTCGACTCAGCTGAACTGGAGGAAGGGACCAGGTGAGTATCAAGCAAATTCAAGATCCCATCACAGATCTTGTTGAGCTCACTCTCAACCTTTCCGCGATATTCCTTGATCACTGACACATGATCCTCATTTCCCCGGCCCTCCTCCTTCTGCTCAATGGATGAGATGATCCTCCAAGAGGCACGACGGGCGCCAATCACGTTCTTGTAGGCCACTGAGAGGAGGTTCCTCTCTTCAACAGTGAGTTCTTCGACATCTACAGTCTTTGCCACTTTCTCCATGAACTCAACCATCTCCTCATACCGTTCAGCTTGCTCGGCAAGCTTCGCCATGTAAACATTTTCCTCCCGGGTTGACTCGGTTGACATCTTTACTAAAAGCAGAGTTTAGATTTCTGTGGGCATACAGATCGAGCAATTGCAATTTTTTTTTCCATTAAAGCAGAAACATAAAAATAAAGTCATATCTAATGTTTCTCTTAAATAATTCAGTAAAGACTAAAATTCAAAATTCAGATAATAAAAAAGTTAATAGTTACAATATATCATAAAGTAAGAAACAGATAAAAGCACTATACAACGAAGAAAATACAGGTGTAAGTTTTTAATAATTCTGAGAATAACTCTTGAATGATAACTTTCGTATATTCACATAGTTTTAAGCAAATTTAAGACACAGAAATATATAAAAATATATGAAAATCGCATAACTTTTCCCTCACTAAAATATTAGATATTATTTTCCTCTATGGAAAATATAAGAACAAGAAAGAATCTTCATGATGGCCGTTCATTATAAATGGTTGATTTAATTTAATTTTATACCATTTTAACCTAAATAAATATAGAAAACATCAACAATCACATAATTTCTTGAAAGAATTCATATTCCCTTACTATTCCATGTAAACATTATCTCCCTGTGTTCACCTAAACAAATGAAATACCTAAATGAATATATTCTTTCGATCAATTACTAAGAGTTGCATGGCAACAAAATAAACTTATCAATTATAATCTTCGAATTTCAAAAAAATAAAAAGTAACCCTAATTTTTCTCAAGATAACAAGAAACACAAACTTTTCACTTGATTTAACCAATCAACTAGATTTGTAGGTATATCTACCAATAAAATTCAAATCGATGCCCATTATTTTCAATTTCAAAGATCCCGCAAAAGATCAACACATGAATCGAAATACTTCACTACGAAAAAGGATTCGATTTAACAAAAAATAGATCTGAGATCGAGAGAACGATGAAATTGTTGTACCTCGAAATTTGGGAGGAAAAACGAAACCCTAATAATTTCTTTTGGGAATGATTCAATGTTTTCTGGCCGCTTCCGCATTATATAGTGTTTGTGGATAACGGATCGGGTCTGGTCCAGATACTTGGGCCTAAATGGGGGCTTTTAAAGGTTTTCCCTANGCCCGGCTAAGCCCGGAAAACGGGTGCTCCAGACCAGGACCGGGTGCCCGGGCCAGGTCCGGGCCAAACCGGGCCAGGCTCCGGGCCGGTTAGGATTTATTTTTATTTTTATTTTTATTTTTTTATTTTTTTATAAAATATTGCTAAAATTAGATTACTCTTATTATATTTATATAAATATATATTAATATATTGGGTTTTTTTTTTAAAGAGCATCTTTTTGCTAAATAATTAGCAAAACAGACTATGAGTTTTCTAAAGAGTATTCAAAACACACGGGACTACTAGTCATGTGCGTTAAGCAGATAGTTGGTTTTGTCCGCCCAGCAAATCCACGGGACTACTAGTCCCGTGGATTTGTCGGGCTTATAAAAGCCCCGTTGTGCCCAACAAGTAGGACATAGCCTCCTCTCTCTTCTCTTCTCCGAATTTTCATCTGATCTCACCTCTATCACCCAGATTTTCATCCACCCCCTCCCAATCTCTCTTCCTCAATAACCCTAACCACATTCCCTATATTTTCTCCAAAACACCTCTTTCTCCCTTAATTTTATCTGTCTTCTTCTCACCAAACCTCTTCTCTCTAAAATCATTCTCTCCAAACCCAAATAGAGATCCTCGCCAAACTTACATTGTTGAAGTCCGACGCCGGTGAATTTCAGATCATCATCAAGGTATAAATTTTGAATTTTTCCTAATTTTCTTTCTATTATTTAGTTAAAATTATAGGTTGGAATTAACTATATATTTAGAATAATTTTTTTAATTATGATAAACAATGGGATTTGGTTAAATTTTGATAGATTAAATTTGGATAGATTAAAATTTGGTAGATTAAAATTTGATAAATAATTTGCATATGATAAATGTTAATATTTCAGTTCGAATGGCGAATGAATTACCAGCTATTTGCTTATTCAATGGGAAACTAAGTGTTGGAATGAATAATATGCCTATATATGAGGGAGGATCTACAAAAATGCTCATGTTATCTAGAAATTACAACTTTGATGAAATGATAGAGCAAATATATGGAGTTACTAGAGTTAATCATGGAGAGTATGTCACTAACGTCTTCTGTAATTGTCCGATGAATGAAAAAAGAATAATTACTGTAGAGATCACGAATGACAAAGAACTAAATAACATGATACAAGTTGTGGAAAACTAAATTTCAATCGAGTTATTCATTGAAAATATTCTATCATCTGATGTTGTCCAAGTTTCATATGCTTCAGGAGAGTTCTTCGCATGCTTGACTTAAAAAATAACTTGAGCGAATTCATTTCATCTCCAAGTGCCTTACACTTAGAAAATGACTCGGGTGCAATGTCAAGTGACGTGTTCCACAATGTTTCGGGTCATATTTCAGTTAATTTACCGATTGGTTCTATTGTAGAAGAGGATGAGGATGCAGATGCAAATGATGATTATGGAGATTTTGAAGAGAAGGAACGTCTTGATAGTATGCAATGTGCAATTGGAGGAACCGATGAGGACACCTATTGGATGGATGAATATTGTGTAAACAATGATTATGTTGCGTCTGAAGAACCATTACAAGAAGAGTTTCAAAATGAAGAGTGGATAAATACCTCATAAGCTGAGTTCGTTGAGCTTGGTCCTAATGGCGAACGACTCAAGGACTTCACTTTCAAAAAGGAGATGTTTTCGAGAATAAGGAAACTTTGGTTTTTGCTATACGTGAATGGTTAATCAAGAATCAGGTCAAATTCAAGCCGATGAAAACGAATACAACCAACTATCATGTCAAGTGCTACTTCAACGAGAAAGCTCAATCAGAGTATGCAAGTGCTCAAGACGAGAGAAATTCAAAGTGTCCATGGAAGCTTAATGCAGCGGTTAGAAAATTCTAATGGGCAATTTATGATCTCTAGTTATTGCGGACTTCATACATGTTGCAATCCAACTGTCCATATTGATCATAAGGCAACAAGTTCCTCTTATATCTTGAAGCTAATTATGCCCGAAGTTATGCGAGAACTTGATCTTACTCCAAGTCAAATAATTACAAGGGTATATGATATGAGAAATTAACTATATCCAAATATAAAGCATATGATGCATGGAGGAAGGTATTGACTAAAATCTTTGGAGATTGGGAGAAATCTTACGAATTACTACACAATATTTTGAAGCAATTAAGAGGAAAAATCCGGGTACCAAATACAAAATATTGTCTAAAACGATTGCGTCGAGAACGGGAAGGTTCATGCGAGTATTTTGGGCATTTGGAGCTGCTATCAAAAGGTTCTCTTTTTATTATCCACTCTTGAGCATTGATGACACACATTTATACTGCAAGTACAAAGGAGTGCTCTTGGTTGTGACTGGTGTAGATACAAATGATGGTCTATTTCCATTAGCTTTCGCAGTTGTAGAGGTAGAGGATACAACGAGTTGGAAGTGATTTTTGCAATGTGTTTACAGATTCATCCATATTGTTCAAAGTCCTAGAATAATTACTTTTATTTCTGACCGAATGAAAGGAATTCCACGAGCCTTGCATGAGGGATTTCAAGCACCACATCATCATCGGTATTGCTTGTGATATATAAGAGAATTTTAAGAAAAAATAAGGAGAGGTCAACTTACATTGTTACAAGTTTGGGCATGTGAAAGATTGTTTTTGAGACCAAGATTGTGTGAGACGTGAGTTTTAGATTGACAAATTTCACTAGGCAGTACGTAAACAATTTTAAATTTAATTAAAAAAATTTTAATTTTAAAATTTAAATTTGGAATTAGAATCTAACCTTCTATCATACACACAGATGGAACGTTACTAAAGCATATGATGAGGCCCCGGCAAGACAGTTAGATTCTTATAGAGAAGAACTCGACCGTGTGAAAATTTATCAGGTATCGAAATTTGAATTTAAGTCAATTTAAGCTAGTTACTAATGATAATTAATATTTTGTAGTTCGTATGGAACTTTTCTACCTTGTCTACCACAGACTTGCTTGGAGGGATAAGGTATATGGAGAGTCAGAGTTCCTCTCGTTTGCTTTGAAATTATGGAGATGCACGTGCCGGATTATGTGCTTAGGCAGTTTGGTTTCACACAGCATGCTCCACAATTTGTAGAAAGAATAGAAAGAATAGAAAGAAAGAATGTTGGTCTTCTTGTTTTGATGATGATTTACAAACAATTTACTTCTAATGTTGTTTGAATAGTGTTTGTGTATTTCTATTTATTGTAGACAAACAACGTGTTGGAGGATGGATGAAATTGTGCCTACATGATCATATCCAATAGAGATTGGAGGAATAGTGATTGAAGCTTATGCAATTCAAAGTTGAAGATCCAAGTTCAAGCTTCATCCACAAGTTTACCAAGTCAAGCTTATTGAAGATCTATAGCTTGGGTAATCTAGTTTAGGAGTTTATATTATGTGTGTTAAGTACTTTAAGCTCAATATCATATACACACACATTATATTGGTTTCTATGTATATATATAGTTATATATATACATACATGTTTTGATTTCCTATAAATATATATAGTTATATATATATACACATTTTGGTTATATATTAATATCATATACACACACACATTATATTGGTTTCTATATATATATATACATACACATTTTGGTTTTATATATATACATATATATAGTCATATATATATATATATGTATACACAAGTTATGGTTTTGGATATATTGCAAAACATGTGTATCCTCATCAAAATATTATATTCTTGTTTATGGACTTAACAATCACGATATACATCTTTTATTAAGTCTATAAGAACATTTGAAAATGTTTCAAAGTTGTGTTTATGTCAAAACATCAAATTTCATGTATATCAACTTTTTATGTTTTGGACATACTTGCAAAATACATGAGTTTTTACAATTGGTAAATGTAATTTGAAAATTTCTTCATTTATATGTTTATATTCATATAAACAAACATTTCCCCAAGTTTTACTAATTTTGGAGTTGTTTTGTTATTTTCAATTGAATTTACAAAAACCAGTATTCAGCAGTTTTTTAGAAACTGTTTATCTGTGTTCAAATATTTATTTCTCTAAACTGGGAAGTGAATTTTTAGAAATTCTTTCTCTAATATGTTCATATACATGTCTAGAACGTTATCTCAAAATTTCATGATTTTTGGAGTTGATTTACTATTTTTAATTGATTTTACAAAATTAGATACATAAAATTCCAAAACTGTCAAAATCTGGAAACTGGCCGTGCACGTTTTGCTACAGTACCGGACGACCACCAGTGGCTCTGAGGTCGACCGCCAATTTTCCAGAGACTTGAGATTATTTTTCAGAACTTCTCACGGTCGACCGGATGTGGCTCTACGATCGACCGCGACTTTTTCAACATGTTTCCCAACAGCTAGTTTTGGCTCGCGGTCGGCTCGCGGTCGACCGCCAGTGGCTCTGTGGTCGACCGCCGATCAATAACGGCTATATTTATGCACTTTTTAAATTTTGTGGGATTTGGTTTTTTGGTCATTTTGCTTGGGTTTCTACTGATGTTTTGAGTTTCTATAAATACCCCATTGCTCTCATCTTTCAAAACAACTAAGAGAATGTTTTAAGAAGGTTTAACAAAGGTTTGAAGTTTTGTTTAGTATTTGTTTAAAAAGCTTTTAAGCGTTTGAGAGTTTGTTTTGTGAAAACAATTTCACAATGGCTTGAGGAAGATCATCCATTAGTGTTTAAGCATCCAACTCTTCTCCCTCACTCTCTTGATTTATTGAGAAGTTTTCTAAACTCATATCTTGCTTTACTTTTACATATTCGTTTGATTATCATTCATTAAATCTAGTTTTTATATTGAGTTTAGATTTGATAAATCTCATTGTTACACACACCTACTTTGAGCTTATAGTATTTTCATACATAGTATTATTAAGGTTGT